ATATACGTGCTTATAAACAGACACACCTAGACAAATACATAGGAAGAAGATTTTTAAACTGTTCACCAAAATGTTAATGATGGTGATTTCTAAGTTTGTGGTCACAAGTGATTTATGTGATCTTATTTTCTATGATGAGTGTGTATTATTTTTATAGTCAGAGAGGCTATAGTGTTGCTTCAGAAGTAAAATACTTGCTGGATGCTGGTGGCTCACCCCGGTAATCCTAGCTGCTCAGGAGGCAGAGATCAGGAGGATTGTGGTTTGAAGACAGCCTGGAGACCTTGAAAAAACCTTCACAAAAATAGGGCTGGTGGAGTGGGCTCAAGGTGAAGGCCCTGAGTTCAAGCCCCAGTACTGAAAAAAAAAATTCTTGGTTTCAATTGAAGATCTTTATGTCAATCCCCTTTTAGAGTAGAGTAGAAATGACTCCCATGCGAGCCCCATTGTAAAGAGCTCATCTTGGTGGGAGAGCCATATTAAACCAAAAACTGAATTATCTTTGGGATTCACTGCTGTTTTGTTTTCTCCCCAGGAAGAAAAGAGAATGAACCAAAAGGAGCACCTGGAATGGATCTGACAGTGTCTTCTGCCCTTTCCAAGTGGGAGATGGATGGATCTCCCTAAATGAGACAGTAAGGAACAAAACTTAAGGAAATTGGCTATAGACCAGAGTAGCCCTGGCCCATATGACCTTTTGTTTATCCCAATCTTATTTATTTGAGTCAAGTTTCAGGAAGCCAGGTGCGCTTTAATCCTGAGAAACTACAATTTAAGGTCTTCCCTTTGTAAATTTATCTAGTATTTGTGTGGTTTACTTGATTAAAACTCAGTGTGGATTAGTATTTGAAACTTGAACAATCCATGAACAATGCATATCTCCTTCATTGGTTATCCAAGTTTCTAATGAAGCTCATGAGACCAGCTCTCAGGTCTTATCTTTTTTTACCTCTTAGTACCTCAGAGGAATTCTCAATATGATGATCCCAGGAGATTGGGGGCAGAGGGATTCACTCTTTTCTGGAGAAAAAAAAAAAACAACAACATTCAAAGCAACTGAAATCTGCAGTTTAAGAGACTGTTTTGTTTTCTTGGACCACTTCCCAGGCCAAAGGAGCATATGCCTCCAGGCTTAATGAGTATAGCAATAATTGAAGATTGTTTTTGATACTAGAGAGAGCTCTATTTTCTTCACTTTGTAGGTTTTAGCTGCCATTGTCAATGCCTCTTCAACACAAGATTTTTTTCACCTGTGTCCTGTGACTAGACTCAGCCTCTTCAATGCTTTGTAAAGCTTACTGTCTGGAAAGTGGCTCCTTCTCCTTCCTATTGCCAAGGTAGGAAGCAAAAAGTGGCTATTGGTGGGAGCAAATGAAAGTGGAATGCCATGTGCATTTGTCAACATTTTACTCTTTTCCCTGTATGGTTTTCATTATTTGGTTGGTTATTTCACCATGCTCATCGTGCTGTGATCATGAATTAAAAGACAGCAAATTTAGCAACGACGTGATAATGGTCTTCAATACTTGCAATACTATCATGTTAAAAAAGATGTAGAAGGTGTAATGGTGTAGGAGGTGGTAAGTTGCAAGGAGACAGTTATTGAGTCAGTTGAAAGTAACATTTTCTAAGACTTAAAGATAAATAAAAAATAGGATTCATGATAGTACATCTATATAATGGAATAGTATACATCACTGGAAATAAAAAGAGTGAGTTATGCAATATTGTTAAGGAAAATATTCAAGACATAATCTTTGATGAAAAAAACCTACATGTGAAATGACATATGCAGCCTAATTCCATTTGTGTAAAATTGAAGTGCTATAGAAAAATGCATGATTATATCTAGAAAATTTCTAGACAGAAATAAAAAACAGCAAAACAAGAATCATCATCTCAAGACCAGAGAATGTAGAAAACGAGAAACTAACTTTTCTGTTTATGTCCTTCTGTGCACTTGGTTTCTCTCCCATCCCCCCACTTTTGTAATTTGAAAAGCATAGTTTTATTTTTCTAAGTAGACTTACTATGTTACAAAACAAGAGGGGATACCAATTTATAACATAATGAATTTCCAATCACTGGAGGCACTGAAGCAGAATTTGGGGGACTGTTTTTGAGGAATGCTGTGCTTTTAAAATTATCTCCTAGCCCTGGGATCTTATGATTCAGTTATATTTGACGGACTGCCAAACTATGCATTTTTTTTCTCAGCTTACTTCCAATTGGAAAGACTTGGCTAATGAAATGGATAAGATAAACCTCTTGCTCAGAATTGGTTTTCAAGTCCAGGAAGAAAATAATTTCTGTAGAGAAAATATTTTGAATGATTTTAGAGGAAAAGGGATATTTTTAGCTAAACAGCTAGAATCCAAGGGAAGAGAAATTAGAGTAAGATGCTACTTTCCCAGTAACTGGGATTCCACAGAAGGAAGCTGGTATTTTGTTTCGGCTGCTAAGCTCCTACTGTTCCAGGGTTAGCACTCATCTCTTCCTTTATCTTGAGGAGTCATCATTTTCCTGAGGGATGATGAGAGGCAGAGAGATGCGGGAAGTGCGAAATGCATGCGCTCAATTCCATCTTTTCTGTAGCCTAACATGTTTATTTTTCTTTCATTCCTCATGGTGTGAGTAGGATTGACTTCCAGTTACATTTGTTTTACCTTGTTCAATAATATGTCATGAATCCCAGATACACAGGAGTGGTTAAGGGCTTCCTATCCTCCACATCTCCAAGAAAACCGACACATATTTGGTTTTACACTTTTCTCAAAACTATTTTATGTTTTCTCTTTTTTCAAAATCTTTAGGAAGAAAATTCCAAAATCTGCTTTCACTCAACTAGTTGCATCCCACTGTCATAATAGTATCGAGCTTGTTAACTAATATTTGGTAATCATGAAATTTTGCATTCATTTTTATTTTTTACTATTACATTAAATCTCACTCATCTTGATTCCTGAGATTTCTGATGTTCCCTTAAATTTTGTACCTATGATGGGTGTTTTACTGCATTCTACTCTCAGCATTGTTCACAAAGTTTTTCTTTTTACTAAGTATAAACTTTAAAAGTTGAAGTCAATTTCCTCTGAATCTGGCCCTTGGGTGCTCAAAGTTCTTTGTAATGCCTTCTCAGAGACATTAATTTGGCCGTGCATTATACTGTCACCCTTCTGTTCTCCAAGATAAATTAACCCCAATTTTTACCTTTTCTCCCCATGCCTCTCATCAACTTAATGATATATTTACCTGTGGAGAGAAATACTTAAGGATTTTGTTTTTTGTGTTTATAAAGGAATAATCAAGTATAAAATTCTGGATTATAAGGGAAAATATTTTCAGATTTTTCATATATTACTCAGAAAAACACATTTTTAGTATTTTGGTATATTTATGTCTTAAGTGGCATTTATGTCATCAAATGTTTCCTTATTTTGTTAATTACCTCCTTTTTATTTTTACAAAGCTATAGTATATGGTCTATTATCTTTCTGTCCCTCAATTATATTTTTCCATACCAGTTGTTTCTAGATTTATAATGGCCATATTGTTCCCATAACATGGATGTGTTATAATTAATTTAATTATTACTTTATTAATTTACATTTTATCTGATCTTCACTATTACAAATAATACAAAAATTTCTTTGTTCTCATATCCTGATGCATATCTCTGATCATTTCCTCAGGATAAATGATTAGAAGTGGAAATATCAAGCCAAGGAAAATGGGCAGATACGGTCATTAATGCACTAGTATTCTATCAACTTATCTAGGTGAAACATTCTACAATTTTTCCACTTTTTCTGGATTTTCCACTTTTTCGTAATTCAATCTCATTCCCAGAGGAAAGAGAATACAGTAATTCTTCTTAAACAAAAACAATGAAAAATATCTTCTTTCTCATTTATTTTTTAGTCATGATGCTTTTTAGGTAGTTGTGGTATAGGACAAAACCACCCTAGCCCTATTAGAGATTAAATTAATTTAGGCAAATCACCTAACTCTAGGTGTCATGGTGTTCCCATCTGCAAGATGGAAGATAGTAATTAGCTAATATGTAGGAAATTATGATGTTACATAATGCATGGAGTAACTCTTTGTAAAAACTAAAATGTACTTTAAGGCACTGTTTTTATTATTATTATTAAACTTTTAAAAATGAGAAATTTGAGCCTCAACAACTCCTCAGATAGAGAGAACAGGTTTCCCCAAGTTATAGTTCTGAAGAAATTAGAAAAGACAGCTTGGTAATGAGGCAGACTATATGTGAAAATCTGCAATTAAGTACAAGCTAGAAAATACATGGAAATGCACACAATCCCTGAGAACAAGTTACTGGGCAGCACTTAGCATGACAAGGAGCTTGGACTGATAGTATGGATTCAGTCCTAAGACTTTCTGAGGAACAGTCTTGAGTGTTGAAGAGGGGAACATTATTATTTTTTTTAAGTATAAGGGACAGTTAAGTTTGAAGCTGTTGGATGATTGGTGAAAGGTTTTATAAAATGTGCAGATAAGTGTAGTGGGGAGAAAGCAAACAGTTGTGTGATGTTGGAGCAGACAGTATTGTTTTGTTCTATGAGCCCAAAGGGAATATCTTTAAGAAATAGTCAAAACTCTTGTTTAAACAAATTTCAAGTAACAAAATCTGAAACTGCAACCTAAGAAGAAATTCCTTTCAAATTTAACTATGTGTTTTCTGTTTCTTAAATCTAACTATCCCCCAACACCTCTGGTCTAACTCACCAGGGCATCATTTTTCACACTTGTCCCATTCATCTTTCCTTCCATCCTGGGCCATTCCTATTTATTCTTTCATAACTTTATGCTTAAATTTCCATAACATAAACTGTTTCCTGATTGTTTCTCTTTTACCAATAGATGAACTGTTGTCCCAATTAACTTGGCATCATCCAGAAGCAGAATTCTTGTCATTTCCTTCTTGTAAGAGTCCCTATTCAAACCAGTGGGCACTGATATATTCTGGTTGATCCAAGTCTCCATCTTCTGATCTGGAAGTTTTACTCAATGAAGAGAGAAAACCACTCAGTGGTGAGTGACTTTATTTTCCAGAGTTTCTCCAATTTTCATGAACACAAGATTATCCTCTTTGTGGTATTTCTTACTTTGTACCTTTTAACTCTGACTGGCAATGTTATTATTGTGACAATTATCAGCATTGATCGTCATCTTCACACTCCCATGTACTTTTTTCTTAGTATACTTTCCACTTCAGAGACAATCTACACATTGGTCATCATACCACGGATGCTCATCAGCCTTGCAGTTTCAAGTCAACCTATTTCTTTGACTGGCTGTGCCACCCAGATGTTCTTTTTTATCACTCTAGCCATCAACAACTGCTTTCTGCTTACAGCAATGGGGTATGACCGTTATGTAGCCATCTGCAACCCCTTGAGGTACACAGTCATCATGAGCAAGAGGGTATGTGTTCAGCTGGTATGGGGAGCCTGCAGCATTGGATTACTTGTGGCCATAATTCAGATTTCATCTGTGTTCAGACTACCTTTCTGTGATAGAAAGGTGGCCCATTATTTCTGTGACATCCTCCCAGTTATGAAACTTTCCTGTGCTGATACCACACTACATGACATAATTAATTTTATCATCAGCTCACTGGTTATTGTGGTGCCTATGGGTTTGGTATTCATCTCCTATATCCTCATCATTTCTACCATCCTCAAGATAGCCTCTGCTGAGGGACGGAAGAAAACTTTTGCAACTTGTGCCTCCCACCTCACTGTGGTTATCATCCACTATGGCTGTGCCACCATTGCCTACCTCAAACCCAAGTCAGAGAACACCAGGGATCAGGATCAGCTGATTTCAGTAACTTACACTGTTTTTACTCCACTCCTTAACCCTGTGGTGTATACTTTGAGGAACAAGGAGGTCAAGGATGCCCTTTACCGTGCTATTGGCAAAAAAAAATCTCTTGATTGGAATCTGAGGTAGTTTGACACACAGTAGAAATTTCTGAAATTATCTGAAATTTCAGTTACCCATGGACAACTGTGGTCTGAAAATATTAAATAGAAAATTCCAAAGATAAATAATTCATTTATTATTCCAAAAATAAATAATTCATAAGTTTTAAGTTGTGCACAGCTCTGAGTAGTGCAATTTTGTGTAGTTTTGTTTCAACCCACCTGAGACATAAATTATCACTTTGTCCAGTGTATCCATATTGTATATGCTATCCATCCATTAGTAGGTACAGTGTAATAAGATGTCTTGAGATAGATAGAAAAGACCACAATCACATAATTTTATTATAGTATATTATAATTACTCTTTTTTATCATTAGTTAATGTTATTAACTCCTTGGTATGCCCAATTCATAAATTAAACCTTATCGTAAGCATGTATGTGTACGAAAAAACAGTGTACATAGGGATCAGTACTATTCTCTATTTCAGGCAACCATTGGCAGTTTTGGAACAGTTAAGTGAGGACTTCTGTATAGTCTACCATAACATGGGTATTTTTGTAACCTCATAGAAGTTTGATCCTATCATTCATCCTCTATAAAAAGAAAGTTACAAAATTTGGTGGTAAGGTTACATTAAAGAATGACTCCTGAATGCATTAAAAGTTGACTCTTGTTTTTATTTATTTTCTTTTAATTTTTCAATTAAGAAAAGCTTTTTCCTTGTGGTTCTGAGAATCAAAACCAGTGCTTTGTGCATCTAGGTGAGTGCTCTAACAGTGAGCTACACCCTCAGCCTCTTGTTTTTATCATCAGTCTCCTATTCCTTCTATTAGTCTCATAGGTTGCCTCCAGAGCAATAGCCAGATGCTGCATACGAGATGGGAAGCTGGTAGAAATCATAAGGAAGGGGGTAGTTGAATATTATTAGGTTGTTGATGGCAGAAAAGAGGGCTACCTATTTGAAGTGATGGGTTCAAAGATCAGCCCAGGGCTGGCAGAGTGGCTCAAATGGGAGAGCACTTGCTAGGCAGGTACTTAGCAAGCATGAAGCCCTGAGTTCAAACCTCAGTACTATCAAAAAAAAAAAAAGATCATTCTAAATGTCAGATAGATACTTAGCTCTAAAAATTCAAAGAGGATGTGGTTGGTGTACAGGATGTGCTGGAAATACAGTCAAGATTACCTTTCCCACTTACCACTTTCTCTTTTGGACAGTGACAAGAGTAACAGATTCTGACACTCCAGAAGAAATATTATCAGCTCTAAACATTCTTGCCTGCCTTAGAGACCCCCAAAAAAGTTTCATTTTGTTTTTTTACCAATTTTGTTGAGGCTCACATTAAAACTATTCCGTCAGTGAGTCTGGATTACCAGTATGTGCGATGTTAGTAAGCATCTTGGCCACATCCTGCTCTGAATATCGCTAGAATTATACACATTTTTTGTGTGGGGTAACAAGTATGTCATGTTATATTTACAATGATAGGAATGTCTGAAGATAGTCTTTAAAATTAATTTCTTTAATGCCACCTCCAAACTAACTCTTGTTGTTATGTAGATAGGGAAATTAGCCTATGCTTTTCATTATCTATTCAGAACATGACCTGATACCCATGTCTTGTCTTTACCTTCTTCCTTGTTACATTGATGATCTTATTTTGTGTGAATTGTTGGGTACCTAATATAAACCCTAAATTTAAACATTTCCAAACTCCTATTGCTGTTACCTTCTACAGAGGAAGGTTATCCTGATTTGTGAGAAAGATTTGAGAATTATTTGACCTAAAGAAAAAAAAAGAGGAAGAATTTGACAAATGTCTTCTAGTCCATAAAAAGCTGATGAAAAAAAAAATCTGTATCTCCCATCTACTATGACTATCCAAGTATCTCTGTTGAAAATGCATTGAAAGTGTACTGCACATTAACCAAAGGGTCTGGGAGTCCCTGGTGGTAGCAGGGCCAAGAAGGGAAATCTGTGCTTATTGAGCCAAAAAGAATAAAAAAAATTTGTCTCAGAACAGCTACTTCCAAGAGAACAACCTGGGAGCAGGTGTGAAGAGGGACTTCTAGGGCAGTTGATCTTTTCCTTTATCTGGGTTTCCCTCAGGACACCTCTGATCTTTTCTGGGGTAGGTAAAGGGAAACATTTTTACAACCTTGCTCCTGAGAAGCTTCTTTTGAAACTCTGTGTTAAGAGGTCCTGCTTGCTAAAATAGCCCATTCCTAAAAGGCTTTTCCAGTAGCACATCATTTTTATAAGTTGCTAAAGCTGAGTACACAGAACCCCCATAGAACCTCCCACAGCTGCACAGGGTTCTACAAGATTGGTGCCAGTAGTGAAGGCCTCAATCCTACAGTTTGATGCTGCAGACAATTACGGTACCATTTGTCCAAAGTAACTTTTGCAACAATAAATAATATATATCAAAGGTCTACCATATCTTGTGTTTTTCTTTTTTTTAATGTTTACACCATCTCAACGGAGCCCAAAAAAAAATCAATAGATTTAATTTTGAAGAGTGTGTGATTATCATTAATCACATGGACCTCTTCATGACTGAACAGAATGAGGCTTAAGCCCACAACTTGGGTTTAGTCACCACATAACCGTATTCTTTGTGAATTAGGGCCTGCCAATTCAGGAGGTTGCTACTGTAACACCAATCACTCATCTCCTTTGGGGGGAGCACATGGTCCCACAAGTATACGTCCCATATCTCCCCAACAAGGGATTGTTTTGCATCAAAACGTCCCCCAAAGGAATCCTGTTCTTGTCCCAGGATAATCTTTGACTGGGCCCCCACAGAGTACCCTTTCCTCAAACCCTTTCTCCCCATGGGCTTCCCATCCATCCAGAACTCAGCAATCCCAGAGGCTGACTCCCAGGTCACACAGACATGGATGGGAGCATATGGAGTCTGGGGGCCCTTGAAAGTGACCGCCACATTCCCAATATACAGCATGTACTCTCCTACTTTGTTCACAAAAAGAAGCAGTTCATTGTCCTGGGATGGAGTACTGTAGGAGAAGAGGCTGAAAGGGCGGGTGAGGTCTGTGAAGGCCTTCAGACACAGCGTGAAGTTCTGTAGTGGCTTCCTCACCTGGGGGCTCAGGGACACGTAGGCAGTAGCTGATTCTTGAGGGAAAATGAACACCTTTCCTCTCATGTCTGGAGAAAAGAAAATGTGACAAAAATTCTCTCAACTCTGTGGTTTGATTTGCTCTTACTGTGGACCCATGCCTGCCTTCTCACAGTATATACAGTGTGCTGGAGCTTATGGAGTTCCTGTGTGCATTATCTCAGTGACTGTAAGCAAAAATGCTATGGTAGAAGGCATGTTTGGGTTCAGTTGTCTTGTTACAAAGGTGCATTACAGATGTCCTATATCAACCCCACCTCCATCTTCCTTACAGATTTCAACTGGCTAAAAGAGAAAATACTGGTCATAGAAAATGAAACACAGCTGACTCACTGACTGATTGCAATGGACAAAGCATGTAGCACTCTATATTCTCTCACTACTGACAAGATCCTAAGATTTCTCCCTCCTATGGAACATTTGAGGGTGGATTTAGATATGATTTTAATGGCTGACCTTGAACTTAAGTTTAGTTATGATGGACCAACATGTGGTTACTGTAAAGTCTGAAAAATAGAATAATGTGCAAACCACATGGTCTTGACCTTTATAGCACCCTCACCTTCCTCTCCATTCTGTCTGGCAGCTCTCATGTGCCAGTGCAAGACCAGTTTTCCACTGTTTCTCTTGGCAGAAACACCAGGGTCATGGGATCTCTTATCATTGACTTATTTCTCTTCAGACCCACAAGAAAAAAGGAGAGTGTAATCATTATAAAAACCATTATTTTTAACCTCAGGAAAGTAAATTTAACAAATACTAGGTCTCAAAAATAAATTGGGGAATAATAATTAACTGAATCAAGGGAAACATAGCCTAGAAGTAATATGAAGTCTTGACTTAGTTTTGTTTTATAGTAGGAAATGGAAAAACAGCCTGGATTCCTATTTCCTCAAATACAAGGCTTCTTAAGAAATACTTACCTTTGACAAAGAATAAGAACAGAGCACTTAGGGAGAAGAAGATAGGAGATTACAGATAAGAGAGAGAGAGAATTTCAAACTTCCATCAATACAAGGGGAAACAGGAGTATCAAAAAGTGAACCACACATTTATACCCTATGATCTAATTATCTCTATTTCTAACCTTGTCAGAATACAAACCTGGGGCAAAATAGCATGGTTAGACAGAGAACAAGATTTTGAATGACTTATTACTAATAGTAACGCAATAGGAAAGTTAATATCTTAAACTTGAAAGGATGAGGTTGTCCTTACTGGCAGGAATAGAAAGGGAAAAAAGAGGGGAGATGTTAAAACTTTTTTTACTGTTAATAAAAAGTTAGTATGTTATTACACACATCACGAAGTACACTTTGCTTTTAACTGATCTCACCCAGTCTTTATACGAACTTTTTACTAAGTAGACATATCTCCATTAGCTAGATGAAGAAACTGAGGCTGAGAGTTCAGACACTTCACAGAGGTTATTCAATTGTTTGGGAGAAACTGATGCTCTGATATAAAGCCTGAGCTACTTCTAAGATTTCTTATTTCCTCTCATGATGAAATGCTTAAAAAGGATTAGAGAATAATCGTTCTAACCCTTTTACCGACTTCTCTTTCTAGCAAAAATCACATATCCCTCTTGTTTTCTCAGGTGAAGGGCAATAGTGTTCCCACATAATGAGCAAAGGCTGTTCTCCCTTCTCCAGTTCTGGAACTTCCTTATGCCAGGCAAACCTTTTTTATTCATGAACATTTGTGATGGTTGAAACAAATACGTCCTAAAATAATTCTTCTCCCTTTGTGTATTCTAAGGAATAGAATACAGCAGGAATAAGAAACACTATTTCTAAGATTCAGTTATGAAAGGCTGTGATTTCTGCACTGTGCACTTTCTCTCTCTGTGCTGTATCACTCCTGACTGGAGAAGCCAGCTGCCTCTCCTGGGCTATTCTATAGGAAAGCTGGCATGGCAAGTTGCTAAGGGAAGCCTGTGACTAATAGACAGTAAGGAACCAAAGCCCTCAATGCAACATTCTGTCAAGAGCTGATCCTGCCTAACCACACTAATGATTTGGGAGCAGATCCTCTTCCTCGGGCATTCAGAGGAGACTACAGCCCTGCTGGATTAACTGCAACCTCATGACACACCTTGATCTGCATCATCAGCTAAGCCACTCACTGTTTTCTGACACACAGAAAATACCAGATAATAGATGTTTATTGTTTCAAGCTGCTGAGTTTTGAGATCAATTCTCAGGCAACAATAGGTCATTTAGACACCACCTTTCATTCTCACCTTCCTGAAAATAGCAGCAGCAGCAACAATAGCAAAAGGCACTGCACCCTGTTCTCCAGAGACTTGGAGGAACTTCCCCGCTGGGCTCAGGACCTACCTGATTGTGTCAGACCTTCTGAAAGGATGGTGAGGAGTAGGGTGCCCACAAGGAACTTCTCCATTATACTTTCTTTGGCCTTTGGGAATAGTGAAAGGGACAGCAATAGCCGTCTCAGTGGAGAGCTGCTCAATGTTTGGCTTCTTATATTGTTACAGCGGCAAGGCCTTTGTTCCTTTGTTCCAGCAACAGAAGGCAAAGTTATAAATGGTAAATATTAAGTGAACTAGGATATGGTTTTAAAACTAACGTGCTTACCTTTTGATCTGTGGTTTCCATTTGAGGTTTTTCCTTTCTCTTTTAATTATTATATTTCCTCCTGACCTATCCTATTCATTCCCCCACTTCTAGGAAAGAGGCTCCACATCCTCCTTAAGAGACATTTATTACCTTTTCTGTTAAGAAAATTGTGACAGTCTGTTATAGTTTGGATTTTAAACATCCCTTGAAGGCTCTGTGTTAAAAACCTTTAACATTTAATTTAAAACCCTAACCCTAACCCCAGCTTGGTGCTATCGGGTGGTGGGTCTAGCAGAAAGTTTTAGGTCATTAGGGGTGTGCTGTAGAAGAAGACTGTGGAATACCAATCTTTTCTTTACTCTTTTTGCTTCCCAGTCACATTGAGGTTATCAGCTTGCTCATAACATACTCCCTGAACTGATGTTCATTCAGCCTCACTACAGTTCTAAAAACAAGGCCTACCAACCATGAACTGGAACCTCTGAAATCATGAATCAAAAAAGCCTTTCTTTCTTTTTGCTTTGTTTTTGGTGATGGTCCTGGAGTTTGAACTCAAGGTCTCACACTTAATGTCTCTACCACTTGAACTACACTCCCAGCTCTTTATTTGCTTTAGTTACTCTTTAGGGTCATACTCATACCAGGCTGTCTTGAACCATGATCTGCTTACTTACGTCTCTTGCATAGCTAGGATAACAGGCATTAGTCATAGTGCTTGGCTTCCTTTTCTCTTTGTAAGTTGATTATCTCAGGTATTTTGTTATAGTAATGGAAAATCGACTAACACACAGTCTGTTGTTAGGATTATAAGGTAAGTATACTTGATCTGCTGGAGGAACTTCACACCACCTTTTAAGGGCTGGATATCACAGTAGAAGGACATTCACAGATTCAGGTGACTATGGAGTTCCATAGAGCTGCAAGATGGAGGGTTCTTGACTTGTGGCAGAGTAGAGATAAGCACTTGTGATCTTGGTGATGAAGTTGCCAAGTTCTCTATAAAAGGAACCCCTGGATGTTAAGTATTAAAATAGTGCCCTTTATCTGGAATCAAGCCATCATCAGTAAATTGGGAACTTAAATAAGGTGTCTGTGAAGCTGAGCCTATCTCAAGATAGCATGGGATAACGCCTATATTCTGGGAACAATCTAGTTGCATTATGACCTAAATCTATGATTTATAAACCTGTCTATTTACATTTTCACCTAGCATCTGTCTCTTTGTCACCAATAAAAATTAGTTGAAAGTTGCTTTACTGGTTCCTCTTTGTTATTCATCACGTTATAAAACTTTAAAATCCAAGAACATATGGGTCAGGTATGCTGCTACAGCTCAGTCTCCTGCACCTATCACTGTGATTAAGTTTATAGTAAGAGCTCCAAGCAGCGTTTCCAGGCTAATGAGAAGAACTAAAGGAAATTGTATGAGTTAAGACTCTCGGTTACAAACAACAAAAGTCACTGGGGTTGTGGCAGTCTATTTTTCCTTAATTATACTGTGCAACAAACCACAATAAAACTCACTTTTAAAAACAATTTATTGAGTTCATGAGTCTGTGGGTTGGTGATTGGGCTTAGTGATTCTTTTGGTCTCAGCTAGGCAATTAGCAAATGAGCTAGTTGTTCAAAAATAATAGCATATGAATCAGGAACAAGGTGACTGGAATTAAAGCATGTTAAGATCCTTATATTGCTTCTGTAATTTTAGATTGATCTAAATCAATCTTGGTTTCTTGGTCTCTTAATTCTAAAACTATGTTCATAGTGTGATATAATGACAAGAACCCTCAAAGGAATTTTTAAAATCATTTTGCAGCATATTTTTGCATAATACAAAATAAATTATTTTCAAAACATATGTTACTTCATATCAATATGTTACTATTAAATGTTAAATTATAAGTTTGCTTTATTGGTCTTTAGTAGCATCCATAATACATATCTAAATTATCCATATTAAATAAATGGTTCACATTATTGAATTAACCTTCAATTAAGTATGAAAGAAGGGACATAATTTATGGACAGATTAAAAATGATATTTTATAGATCACACTTAACTTTAAGATAAAAATATATGCAGTAAAATGTACATTGAAATTTAGCTACTTTTTGCTATGTCAGAAATATGCAAATATTTCTTTGATTATTTTGATGTTTGCTTCTGACATTGGAACCTTAAAAAGCAACCAAATTTTTAAAAAGTAATGCTTACTTTTCAAGTGTTTACTTTCCAAAAATTTAATTAAGTGCTAAAGACATCTCAATGTGCTATAGAATATTTATTAGTTTGGGACATTTCTGACAATAAGCATGACTAATTTTTAAAAATAGGATAGATGTATAAACTAAAAATAATGCCAAATATACATAGAGATAGTTACTAAAACTCACAACCTAGAAAATCTGGGGCTTTAGTAGAGGGAGAGAGTTGGGGTGGGGATGCAAAAGGAAATGGAAAAAAGAGAAAATGAAAGAAATGATTATTTTGAGTACCAGGGATCCCTACAACCAGAAAAAAGAGCTGACTTGGCTGCTAGATGGGAATACCATTGTGTTTAGTTCAAGACAATGGAAAATAGTTTGAAGCCTGTTTTCCAGAAGGAGAGGAGATGCTTCAGGGGAAACAGCCTTGACTAGCTCCTTCTGAACTGGTTGACCTTCAGGAAGTTATACACTGAGTCATGATCCTCAACTTTCTCATTTGTGAAATGGGAATTTGAAAAAAAACCAGACACCTCCTAGAGTTGTTATAAATATTCTATGAGATTATTTTTGAGCGACATATTAAAAATGTTCTGAAAATGTGAGTAGTTAAAAATAAGTTAAAAAAATAAAGTTTCTGTATTACCTGTTCAGTAATGAGCTCTTTCTTTCCTCATAGTAGATTTCTCAAAATAACCATATTTACTGTCTTTCCTTTAAATATGACTTCTGATCAAAGCATGAACTCTATACAGAAATATAGTGACATAGAAAAATAATTCTGAAAATCTCATTTATGATGGTCTGGTTTGGAGAGGTGAATAAAGAAGAACTGGTTTTATCTGTATGTGGGGAATAGTTGTAAGAATCTTATCATGAGTAATGTTGGGAAAACTGGATATCCACAAGCAGAAGAATAAAACTGTCTCCTTATCTTGTACCATACACAAAAATCAAGTCAAAATGGGTTAAATATCTAAATGTAAGGCCTCACACCATACAGAAAAAGCTCAATATGGTCTTTGGCAATGATTGTTTGAATATCACACTAGCATGAGCAACAAAAGCAAAACTAAGCACGTGGGACTAACACAAACAGAAATTAACTAAATAAAAAAGTGAAAAAGTACACTATGGAATGAGAGAAAATATTTGTAAACCATACATCTGATAAGGGCTAATATTCAAAATACATAAGAAACTCAATAGCAAGAAAAGAAGTAACCTAATTAAAAACTGGGCAAAAGATTTGAATAGCCATTTTTCCAAAGATGACTTAAGAGGGAGCTACAGGCATATGAAAAGGTTCTGAGAATCACAAATTATCAGAGAAATGTAAATCAAAACTATAATGAATATTATTTCATATCTCTTAAGATAGCTAGGAACAACAATAACAAAGATAACAAACATGGGCATGGATGTGGAGAAAGGGAACCTTTGTAAACTGCTGGTAGGATAAATTATTACAGCCATTATGGAAAAGAGGATGGGTGCGCCTCAAAAAATTAAAAATATTATAACTATATGGTCCAGCAATCCCTTTATGGATAGATACACAATGGAAATGAAATCAACATCTCAAGGAGATATCAACACTCTCATACTCATTGTAACATTCACAATAGCCAAAATGTGAAAATTGTCTGTTGAAACATGAATGAAGAAATTGTGACACACACACACACACACACACACACACACACACACACACACACACCTGATAACAGGGAGATACTGCCACTTGGAATAACATAGATTAACTTCTACGACATTGTGGTAAGTGAAATAGCTAGATGAGGAATTACAGCTTGATCTCACTTATATGGGGAATCTTTAAATTAAAAAAAATTCAACTATATAGAAAAAGAAAGTAGAGCAGTGGCTACCAGGGTCAGACAGGGGAAGGAAAAAGTGGATATGTAAGTCAGAGAGTACAGAATTGCATTATGTAGGATAAATAAGTCTACATATCTTATGTGTAATCATATTATGTTGTTTATAGACAATCTGCAGAGAGTAGGTGCTAGGTACTCTTACCATACAACACACAAAATGAGACAGCATTGGAAGTTGATGGATACTTTAAATTGTTTATCTAGAAATTATTCCACTACGTACCAAACCAATATTTTGTATTCTTTAAATTTATGCAATAAAAATAGGGAATACAAATTTCTCAAGTAGAGAGAATAATAGCATGCCCTTTTTATATTACTTGCATTTTATTTTCAGTCATGCCACTGACTTATTTCATTACTTTGAGTGAGACATTTCATATCTGTGTATCTCCTTTCTAAAGTAGAATAATAAATACTCTATCTGTCTCTCTCACTATGATTATCTCATCTTAGGGAAAGGAAAAGTAAAAGTCTCACTGGAAGTGGGCCTGCTTCTACATACTTACTATCCCAACACTCAGGAGACTGAGGAAGGAGGATCTCCAATTCAAGAATAACTTGGGCTATATAGAAAGATGCTGTTCAAAAAAAGTCTCACTAGGTGTACTTCATTTGGAAGATAATGTTTTGGGTTAGCAAATTATAGATAAATGTGTACTATGGTCATGGCTGGCCAGGGAAGGTTTTATTTCCTCTATTCTTCTTAAAGAAAATAAGC